CTTCTCACCCTTGTGGAATTAGGGAGGGCCTCCCCGAACGACTTCCCTTGGGCTTAGCTATTTAGTTGATCTTAAAAGTGTCTTATACACTTTTCGCGAGTCTACTCTAGCGTTACTTCCTTTCAGACGGGGTACAGTGGGTTATCTGGAATAGGAGCAATAGGCGACTGCCCAGCTTGCCTTGGCGAAATCTGTCCGATCTTTTCTACCAAAGCTATTAGTATTTGTCGTTAGTCCTTGTAATTGCACTATTCGCTTTCAGATAATGACGTGTTTCCTAAGAAGAACGAAGACATCATTTTATTCTTTGCTTTTTATTGTATTTTCTTTGAAATTTCCTGTTTTCTTGTCTTTCTTTTACAGGTATTTTGTTTTTTACTACATAAACTGGTATATCTTTTTAATCATTACTTTGGTTGATATTTAAAATGTTTCTAAACTGATTTTTTGGCATAATTGTTACTTAAATTAATTATCTGTTTACACTTTCAAAATTAATGTTCGTTTGGGTGGATAGGGTAGCTATAAGGGGAGATGGGGAAGCCACAGAAGGTTAGGGTGCTTTTTTCTCTAATCTTGCATTAGATAATAATGGTATGACAGTTTATGTAGAGAATATGATGCTTTTTATTGTATTTGCTTTGAAATTTTATTGATTTTATTGTCTTACAGGTGTTTTATTTTTAACTTTTATAAGTCCTTANGTTGAAAATTCACATCATCATGTTGCAAATTGAAGACGAAAACAGCAAATCAAAAATATAATTCAAGAATGATGATACCATTGTAGACTTTGGTTGTTTCAGTATGATCTGCTTTAATTCTCTCTCATTTGTTGCACGATCTGCAAAAATTGGACAAAAAAAATATTAATTACAGTATTAATTAAAGAAGGGATTAAATGAAGTAAAATATTAAATACAATAGAAACATACACCAAAGAGCAAGTAAATTTAAAAATGGCGACGTGGCATCAATTCTACTCATGACAGAATATCGCATGTGCAACTTTATACACATCAACTTGACTGCATGTATTTGAATGAATGAATTTTCACATTTCAAGTCCAAGTAGAAGAACCATTAATGGGACTCCACTTCTCTAGATTTCGAATCCTTCTTATTTTTTGACCCCTTGTTCATTTAATGTGTTTAAATGATAACCTATCGAAACAATATAATGTTAGTTTCATCATACATACTTTTTTTTAAGATATTAAGAACCATAACTTCTACCACAATTAACAAAACTACAAACCATTTCCTAAATACAACATAAAATAGCTCCTTTTCAAGTCCAAGAGAAAGAAGTGTGAAGTGTGCTTCTCCACGTTTAGACTTCTTTTGAATTACCATGTTTATTTATTGTTTTAATGGAAACCTGTTGAAACAACTAAATTACATGTTCACTAGGTTTTATTTTATTATTAATAATAGTTACCATTGTTAACATGAATTTCTCGACCAGCAGCTTGTTAAAAGCATTTTTGGAAATATGTCTCTGCCACAGATTTTCCATAGCTAAGTAGTTCATCCAGATGATCCAAGGATATTAGCTCAAAGCAAGCCTATATTATAGGGGAAAAAAAAAATAAGTTAAAACCCAATCTCTAGAATAAGAAGACAAAAATAAAACTTTTTCTAAGGGCAATATTGAATTTTGAAGGCAGAATAATATTTTTGAGAAATATTTTACGTATTTTGCCTATAAAACGAAAGCAATTTTTTGAGGCGTGGTCAAATTAATATGAAAAATCTACAATCATCGCCGAAACCTGTTTCGAAAATTCAAAAAATTTTTACAAAACCGTAATAATTCAACCTCAAATAAACCATGAATCTATAAAAATTCGCAGATGAGAGGATAGGCAAGATACCGAGATGGAACCCCTCGTTGAAGCACAAAACCAAATCGCCACGGAAGACATTCACGCCAAAAAGATCTAAGCAATGGTAACCGAAACCGATCAATCACTAAACAGAAAACTATTCCACATAATCAAATGAAAATTAAATAAGAATTACGTCTAAATTCCTTCCAGCGTCGTCTTCGTTTATGTACAGCAACAAGAGTAACCGGTCGCCTTCTCGAAAACCGAAGGCAAGATTGGACAAGATACATACAAGGAAACAAGATGAATCGTAGACCATAGACAAAGACATAGGCAGTATCGACGTTTACTAATGGACACGCCTTAGCGGTCAGAATTGTGGTACAATAAAAGAAAGAGATGGAACGAAGTTTCGGACAATATTCATCTCTCTCACGATAGTGCGTATGTGCGTCATGAAAGTGATAGCACTAGTCCGAAACTATACGCCATCTCCCTCACTTTTCGAGCCAAAAAATTTTTACGACATACGGCTAAGGCACGTCCATTAATATATGTCTATGATAGACAGATAAGGACAGTTGAGATGAGATCGCGGGATGATTCATAGATAAAAATTCCTCTTATACCCATGATACATAAATAACAAGTTTTATAAGTGCGTTCAATTATACCAACTTAGTTTAATTCGTAAATAGAAACTAATCTGCCTTTAAAAAATAATCATTCCAATAAAACTACAACACTAACAGTACATTTTAACTACTTAAAGAACTTCTAAGAATTATTGCAATGTTTTTAAGTAAATTAATTAAAAATAAAATTTATGTGGTTCTTTGGTTAAAACGCATACGAATGGTGTATTTGTGAATGTATTTAAATCAAGCTTTAAAAACATAATCATAATAATAATAAAAATCAATACTCCTTAATACATGCGGAATAGTAATGAAAACTGAGAATATC